GATATTACATGATCTTCTTGATCACTTGTAATAAACTAACTCCACACATAAAAATTTACCTTAGACCCGCATGTATCTATTTAGATCACATGCGAATCAACTTCCTCTTGAAACCCTGCATCCACAATACACAATCATCTCATGACTGATGCAGCACGTAATCACAGCACCAAACATCATGCACAAACAATCAAAGAAAACACTTAACCATATTCCTAAGATTCTAGCAAGAACCTCTACGACTATAAAGCATATCAATAAACAAGCAACATGTGTTCTACTCATCTAACACACGGCAAACATCACCAAGACTCACCTTTGATTCGAAAGGTTAAGGCTTATATTCGGACTTAGGCTCTAGAATAGATCTAGGTTCCTCGACTATTCCACGAGCTAACGAATCTTTCCTTCCCTTAAAACGGACAGAGTTTCAGCTTAAATCTCGACTATTCCAACCATCAAAACAACGAAGGGTTGGATTCAAGATCACAAGACGAAACTAAGTCAGATAGGAAAGTTTGGATCGGAACGCCTTGCTGTAAAAACTTTTCGGCACTACACAATGGTTCCCAACAATAGACTGCGGACTTAATCACGATAACGAACTATTTTGGTCAAAGGTTTACTAAGTTCTCTATGAAAAATGTGGAAGCTACTTAACCCTATTTATAGGAAATTTTTTGTTCAGCAGCTTCTGGGATTTGTCGTGCTTGTCGATGACTCATCGCATATGATTGTGACACCTCATACTTACGGGTTTATCGTGCTTCTGATTTATCGTGCTTGCGGATTTGTCATTGAAATGGATATAATCAATGTTCCTCGAATCAAACCCAACAAATAAAAAAACGCAGCTAATAGCCCGTCAATGTTACATCGAAGATCCATTTCAGATACCGTCAATGTTACTCAAACTAAACCCAACAGATTAAAAATAAAAGAATCGAAAGCAAATTCAGAACACAAACCTCTAATGTGTTATGAGCGACAAGCTTAGTCCCAATGCTAGCTTCATTTTCCTGCTTCTCCGGTGCCACCTTGTTTGATTTTGGGACCCAAGCCATTTGCCGGACATAAATATGGACCTGTCTCGAGACATAAGTTTGGACCTGTCTCGAGACATAAATCTGGAATCCCTTCTTCACCGGCATCTGGTTTGGTTTCCGAACATAAGTCAGGTTTGGTTTATGGACCTATATAATTCATAATAATTATATAATTCTTTTCCTAATAATTATAGACAAGAAATTCTTAAACTATATAATTCACCTTAGGACAAAATTTGTACATGATCTTTTTGGATTTTGATTTTTTAAAACCGTTTAAAACAAGAAATTTTGTTTAAAATACCTCATCCAGTGTTACGCATAATTGAATATCTATCATTCCATTTCTACAAACTTATTCATTAAAGTTTGTTGTTGCCTATCATTCCTAATAAATATTGGTAAAAAATATTTTTTAGAGGATAATACATAACTAATCTTGATTGCATTCACATCCTCATTAATCCT